CTAGACATCGATTTCCTGGCCGCGTTGGGGTCAGGCGACTTTGGATATGGTTCTGATGAGACACCATATCCCCCTCTCTCATTCCGACTGCGCGAATCGTTGCGCCTGTCTCCTCCAGACCCTCCTTGCTCATACTGCCCTCGCGAGTCATTCCGGCGGTCCCTCGAGTCATAGTGTCCTCGTGACTCATCGCGTCGGTCCCCTCGGTTGTACCATCCTCGCATCTCGTCGCGCTGCTCTCTCGCTTCTCCCCCGCGCTCAAACCGTCCACGTGACCCTTCTTGTCGTTCCCAGTCCCTATCTCCTCTCTGATATCTACTTTCTCTGTAGCCATCTCGACCCGACCTCTCATATATGTCGTCCCTATATCCGTCCCGGTCCGATCTCTCGTATCTGCCGCGGGAGTTGCCTCTACCCCGATCGACGTCATAGCGAGGGCTTCGGGGGTAATCATCTAGCCTCCTTGCTCGCACAAACAGCTCGCGATCTCTGCGGTCTCGGTCTATCTCATCGTCCCTACGTCGCCATGCCTCATCGTCTCTCTCTCTTTCTCTCATTCTATATTCAGTCAGCGTCCGAGGGTTTCTATCCTCGACGCTCCTCCAGGGATCACTGTTCCTACGGTCCCAGCGAAGTGAATAGGGCCCTCCAGGTTTGTCTCGGTATGCCGTGACCCCTGTAGTGGATACAATCTCAGTAACCTGCCTCGTTAATCCCTTGACCATATCCCGTATCTCCTTCACTTCCTCTGCCACGGCCTCATTATTCTCCGACCAGGGATAGTCCTTGAAATCAGGACATCTATCCGTGGCATACTCCTTGTAGAGAGAGAAGTCACGTCTTCTTATCCCCCTCCACACCAAGTCCTTGTAATCATCAGCCTCTGCCTTTATCGTGAGCTTTAGGACTTCAGGAAAATCAAGCCTGTCTCGAGGAAGATCTCTAAGTATACTTTTTTGCCTACCTTTAGACAAGAGTCCTATGAAGATAGTACAGCGCTCGACTTCGGAGATCTTCCCCTTCTTCATCAGCACGTCGGAGATCTTTTGGAAACGCATACCAAATGCTCGCATGCTCTCATCTTCTTCTTGAGTTATTGTTTCTAAGTCTTTGATGGAATACTTGTTATCCTCTAATTTATAAAGCTCCACGAGGTTCTTCTTGTAAGTAGCCCATCTTCCATCCTTCGGTCGATCTCCTTTGACTTCCCTTCCGAGACATGGGTCTACATTAAATAGGAAGTTCTCTATAATCTCTTCCTCTGACCACCGACTCCGGCAGGCATGAAGCTCCCACTTCTCCAGATATTCCGTGATACCATAGACCCTAAAGGTAGGAGGCTCCGAGGCCTTGTGCGTGATAATATAGTGATCCTTGGTTTCGTAAGGAAGTGGATACGACCCCCCTGTCTGAGGGTCGAAGACTCGCCTGGGCGGCGCCCTGTCTCTATCTCTGTCCCTCCAATAGGTATCCCTCAAACTCTCTCTCCAGTCGTCTCCGTGCCTATCTGACGTGGTGTCTCTCTTCTCGTGCTCGGGGGAGCGTCTCCTCGTCACTTCTCGCCGTTCGTTCGAGGTGCCTGTCTTTAGAGCTCCCCGCGGCTCTGTCACAGCCGGTTCGCCCCTTTCGCCGGGTCCTCATTCATTGGTTTGGTCGGCCCATCTCAGCGGCGCTTCACGCCTAATTCGGTCTTTCAGATCTCTCAGGGCGCGATCGGGCGATGTCCTGTACTCCTCTCCTACTTCGCCCATGATCGGTTGTGGCCCCATCGTGTCGGATTCCATCGGACCCTCAGATGACACAGTCAGATATCCCAGTCAAGTGCCTCGGTCCAGACCCTATGACAGCCGACGCAGCCCGGACCAATGATAGTCATGGCAGCCCGGACCTCTTTCTTTACCACTAGCTACGTCTTTCTTTGTCACGACCTACGTCTACCTCCAGTCTTAGCTCTAGACTTCCTCATCTACCTCTTCCGGTAGTCCGTACCGGTCGCAGATCTCACGCTCTCCTCTAGCAGCCGAGGTAAGTTAGTGCTATAATCACTTGTAACCTCATCGCCGACTGCTCCAACATGTCATAGAACGTCTCAAAATCCTCCTTATCTACATCATCTTGTATGGTATCTAAAATCGTTATCGTCTCCTTCCAGTACCTATTGTGAGCAGCTAACACCCTGAGTATGGCACCGTCTGTTACAACTCTCCCTAACTCCCCAGCTTTCCTGACCTCGCTTATCTTCAACCTCTCAGCCTCTCCGGTCGTCTCATACCATGCCCTTATCCGCGACCGTCCTTCAAAGGGTGTCACTCGGAGCACGTATTTTATCCTCCGTCCTCCTTCTAATCCGATCCAAAGTCCTGTCCCCCTTGCCTCACGTAGGGCTCGTCGAACACACTCCGCCTCCTCAACTATGCATAGTCTACTATGGAGTTGGAGCTCTACGATCACTAACACCAATGGTCCGTCTAATCTCCCTACCACATGCAATGAGTACCGATCCGTCGTGTGAACTGCTGTTCCGCTCATATCCTGTCGCTACTCCCCTGCGTCACTTTGTCCTCCTTTGTCTCACTCTCCTCAGATCGCTCACTCGTCTCTCTGTGTGATACGCTTCTCGTCCTTACTCTCTCCAGAAAGTCCGACCTCCACGCTTGGATTCTCTCTCTTTCCTCCCTAAAAATATTTTTCTAACTCTCTCGTCGCTAGTTCTGCTTTACACAACTTGACCTCATCCTGACACGGCCAGATCTCCCTTAATTTGTCCCCCAGCTTCTTTACTTGGTTCAAGAGTGGTTCCTTAATACGCTTTCTCACTCTCTCTACTGCCTCACTCTCCTCTTCCATANTACTAAGTCAGATATGAACTCGAACAACAGCTCGAGCTCAACCTTTAGACTGAATTTGACTAATTTCTAAATTTTGCAGAAATTTTGGCAGCACTCCCTCTAGAAAAGTGTCAWTCCAAAATTTATACAAGGCTAAGTTCAGAATTTTGAGAATAACTTTAACTTCTTARAGTCCAATTTTGTCTAACTCCCTGAATYAGTAAAAATTTGGGYAGCACTCCCTCTAGAAAAGGAMACTTTCCAGATTTATACTAATYCATRTATGGAAAAGACAAGCTGAACTTTKACAAGTCAAAASTTGATTAACTTCTTGGATTTGTAGAAATTTCGGCAGCGCTTCCCRTAGGAAAAGTAGCTTGCCAAGATTTATATAAAGCCAAGAATRRGAAAGGATCTCAGAAAATGCAGGAATTTACACTAACTTCTATGCCTCTAGCACGTGGCGAGCAACTACAGCAACTATCTATAGTAATGAAACTCAACAAACTAGCCATCCCATTTAGTCACATACAAATCAAACCACCAAAGTAAGTACTCTCATCACCCCAAGTTTATTCCATACAGATAGTTCATGAATCTTCAAGTTCTTGATCCTTATACCCATCTTACATAAGACATAGARCTGGACCATTCGCCATGGAAACAATGCCCARCTTGTCTTCATGATATACACGAACAGGTTGCACAASTACTTCTCTCTTCYTTYRGGCAGATGACTAGRCCATTCGTCATGGAAACAATGCCTAGCCGCCCTGAGCTGTTTAATATCCAAGGATTTAGTATTTCTCTGACTTTGTTTTCAAAAAGAAAAAGCAAATATGGGCAGGGGGCTGAACCATTCACAGTAGAAACAATGTTCAGCTTGCCCAAACTATTTTCATTTTTACTTTGTATTTCCCTTTTTCCCTTCTTAATGATATGGCTTAACGCTGGACCATTCACAGTAGAAACAATGCCCAGCTGCCAATTCACATGCAAATATACATAAAATACTTCCCCTTTTTACTCAGTTTAACTTATGTGTGTGGTTTTCAGGCTAAACCATTCACCATGGAAACAATGCTTAGCCTTTGACCAGAAATCCTCCCTCAGAATAAACAAGAACTYAAACTCCTTCAATCAGGCAAACCCCYAGAGTWAACTAGAGCAACCAGGCCATTCACCATGGAAACAATGCCTGGTTTCCTAGAAAACAACTAAATAAACACAGCAACCAGACCATTCACCTTGGAAACAATGCCTGGTCCTTCAGAAAACAGTCAAATAAAACACAGCCCAGAGCCATTCACCATGGAAACAATGCTCAGGCTTTGGTTGACCCGGTCAAACGCATGCAGTCTACCTTCCTCCCATCTTCCCCCAGTTCATCCCTTCGTCTGCTTTCAATCAAAACAAAATAGAAACTTAGGCTTCACTCTCACACATTCTTTTCAGTTAGTCTGATTAGGTCYTGAAGAGAAAGCAAAAGCCATGGGGATAAACGCATGCATACAACAATCATACTGTAGGGGGATAGGCAAACATGGGTAGTAGTAGGTGGTACAGATGAAAAGTTATATACCTGATGGTTCCCTGCCTCCAGAACCTCGCCTAGGTTCCKGCAGAGCTCCCGCAATCGGTGGGTRGACTCCCCACAGAGTCTTGATGCGGACCTACGGGTTGCAATCCCGCCTGCCGCCTTCCTYTCGTAACCACAGGACTAGACTGAGAGTTAGAAAGGCAGAAGGAGACAGTTTTCAGACTCTCAGATCCAAGGAGGGATGCTCTCAAACTCAATAGCGAGGGCCAGGTAATCTTGATCCGCCTGAGGGCCCCGCAATAACATCCAACAAGTAACAKCTTTGAACAGTTYTGTCGTCCAAACTGTCGGGCTCAATCCCCCTCGCGGCTCCTCAAAACTGCAGCAATCACTCCCCCTTCCTGCCCAGTCTGACCACTCTTTCACGCCTCGCTCGATCACGGCCGCTCACCGGCATGTAATGATCGTTAGTCTCAACAGCAGCCCATACATAGTTTCTTAACACAACAGCAATGTCTATCATTGAAYGCAGCGGCCTACCATAATGACCAGCAGCAGCCCCACATAAAGTGCAATGGTACACARCCCATAAGTCCTCAAGTCTGTAGTCCCCTGCTCTGTAGTTGACAGTTCCGCAGTCCACAACTCTGTAATCTACAGTTCCASAGTCCACAACTTTGTAATCTACAGTTCCACAGTCCACAGCTCTGTCATCTACAGTTSCACAGTYCACAACTCTGTCATCTACAGTTCCACAGTCCACAACTTTGTAATCTACAGTTCCACAGTCCACAGCTCTGTYACCYGCTGCCYACCGRGAAGAGCAGCGTCTTGGTCACATGGGTAASTGCTCTGAAAACAGCCCACTCGYGTCGCYCATTCTGRMTCGTAGGCCAGCCCYGCTTGGTATAATACGTGCCTGCCACGCCGGTCRACTCAACYCACMACCCCTGCTCATTCGGCTGGTCGTGAAGAGCTCCGTGCARCTCRCCTGTTCCGTCGGCTGCTTCCGGTTCCCCGCTACTGTCGACGACGGAGCGGAGAAGGTCGACGAATCCCCCCRCSACTACGTRACAACGTGCAGCATGAGGTAAGTGCCCCGACCCTGCARCTGGCCTCCTYACTACTCCTAACGAYAGTTCGGGCAGAGCCGAATGAATCCACGRCTAAAATATGGTCAGATTCATCCCCCTTTTTGTAGCCTTCCCCATGYGCAGCTCCCGGCTCGATCCAGTTTCGTCAACTKGACGGGCAAAATCGAACGAATCTTCCACTCRAAATGTGGGCAGATTCATTGGCAAGACCTTCCCTCTTCTTCTTCTTCACTCCCGACCACCTCTGCGCACGCCCTTTCTCTCATATGGACTAACTCATTAACTTCCTGTCCAAACTAACACCACACTCTACTTCGTCTCTCCCCAAAACCGCCACTTCGCATCCTATCTCGCTCAGATCCGTTGAGGATCGAGTAAGATTCCACCTTTTCATTCCTGCCACCTTCTCCCGCCATGTCTCCGCGCGGCCTTTTCCTACTAATCCCCCCTTTTCACTAGTTATCCCAACATTCTGACTCCGCCATCGTGTTCGCAGCGTCCCAAAACCTCTGCTTATCACTTTGGTTCACTTGATTCCGTTGGGAATCGAGTGAAAAATCACTTTTCGAATTCCTGCCATAGCCAATTCCGCCAACTCTCTGCGTGGCCTTCCTCCATCTATCCTCCGATCTACTAACCCTCTACTCAAACTAACTACATAGTTGGGATCGCCCCACCTCAAAACCCCATATTCGACTCTTTCCCAGCCCGTTTTCGTCATGGAACGAGCGGGTTTTATCATCTCCTCCCCGCCATCTTCCTTCTYYATCKACGACTGTACCCGRCACCGTTTATYGATTAGATTCGTTTTCTTTTTATTTTACTTTATTTCACTTCCTCCCCCTACCCTGAATGCACCCGGCGCAGGACTGCGATCGGGTTCACTTCCTATCTCTTCTCCTCCGACAGCGCCTGACACAGGTTCACATCCCCGTTYGTCCGCCCAACTCGTCGTTGGTTCCGTCACAGCGCCCTCCCMTTCGCTCGGCTCTTCRCTGTCTTTCACTCTACCGCAGGCAGTCATTCRCCAGTCCGTCCATCACTCCGCCCCGTTTGCTGCGTCTCCCTCCAGTCCGTTCCTTGTTAACGCAATGYGCGGCCGTAGCGGCCCACGGCGGTCGAAGTWGTACAACCARGAGGKATTCAGAAAAGGAAAAAGTGGGGGAAAGGTAGTTAACCTTGCGAYAGCTTAGCGCCGCAGCAACCCCTCACCCGGTCTCCRATGCCTCGCCCCKCATAGGCAGCACCCACCGCTCTGCAYCGCGCCTTCCCTCGGCAGAGCCCATTACCCTTCCTGCGAATGCACCYGGGCGGASACCCGKGCCARGTCCACCRGATCCTCYTCTGCCCCCGCTATCCTCACACTAYCGGGGCTTGTGMCTTWACATGACGGCCTCCCTTACTAYCCSCGRCCTTTTATCCAATAAATACATCCCTCCCAGAAGTCGGGATATGCAAGTCACCATGATTCGCCGCAACAGCGGGCAAGCCCGGATCRGCCTTGCTGCCTCAKTWCTCCGCCCCTATTCCTAGGCCCCTACGGGTAGGCTGCACGGTARTGCTATAGCCACCTCTGCCGTWATACCCCCGRCTGTCGAGTACTGGCTGACTKGTCCTACGCCCGTCACTCGCCGGTATRCTTAGGGGGAGGCATGAGCACGAGTGTGGCTRCCGCGTGGCTCCCCGTAACACATTTAAGGGGGTAACTTCGGTGCAGCCATGAAGACAGTTTGTAACCGTACTTCAGGCAATCCCGTAAATACGACATACTTCAGGCGATCCCACCGCCGTCTCGCGCCCCCGAACGGGACGCGATTAAATAAAACTCGAAAGGCAAATTAAATAAAATTACTAAAGTATCGGGAAAAATCGCGGGGGTGCTGGCGCCTCGCCAGTCCCGCAGATCGGCCCACTGTCGAGCCCGAAAACAAAACCGAGGGGGATAGCCCTGACGGCCCTCAACCCCATCGATCCCTTCCGCGACGCTCCGCTGAAGTTGCTGCGTCGACGCCTGCTGGCCTCGATCCCCGAACCGCCGTAACGCCAACCCAATGTCGCAACCTATAGGGCTAAGCCCAAGCCTGAGACCAACGCCCGCAAAGTACCATACAAGGCGGTGCGGCGCGGCGCTTTGGGTCAACAAAACGGCTGC